GGGGGAGGTGGGTATTCGGTGCGCTGGATGTGTTCGATCCTCTGCAGCTCAGCCTCCACCTTGGCCTTCGCACCCACGGCCTCCGCGCTGATGGAGTGGCTCAACCAGCAGTTGAACGAGCAATTGCCGAGAACCCTACAGTTTCTTTCTCTGTACTTGTTGCTGATGGTCGCAGCTTCTTTCTCCAACTCCTCTACGTTCTGAAGCCATCCTTTCACCTCATTCGTGGCCACCCTGCCCGCCGGTTCATCACGTTCGATAGTTCCCTCCACATCCTGCCGCTTCTGCTTCAAAATCTCAACCTGGTTCTCGAGCGCGGATACGTTATCGCCAACGCGGAGTGTTAGCATTACACCGCCAATGAGAAAATCTCTTAGCTTTTCGACTACTGGCGTTACCAAGGACAGAAGGAAGTCCATCACGATTAACAAGTTGAAGGAGGGAGCAACCAAAAAAGAAATTTCGAGGGGGGATGTTTTGAGTACTGCAATATTGTGGTGATCTCCGCTTGCTAACAGGTTCGTTATATATAGGAGAGCTTAGCAAGTTAAATTAATAATGTTTTAATTGTTTTTGCGATTCCTGGCGTGATAGTTGTAGCTTGGCTGCACATGGGTTTTGGGAAACTTTGAGAGTAGGACCACGTAAATGTCCGATTGCTTTTGAAAGTTGAGAGGAGGACAATAGGAAGGAAGGAATTTTTCAAGTGATTTCATTAAGTCTGGAATCCTTTCCTCCATAAATCCAAAAATTGCGTATATAGATAGATCTTCCTCTGAAACATAATTCAGTAAGAGTTTGGATCTTAGGGGCTGTTTGGTTCGTTTACGTCACTTTCCATAGATGATTTTCCTTTACTTTCTTGTGTTTCCTTCATTTTCCTGAAAAATGTTTCTTGTGTTTATTTCGCCCAAAAATATGTAGTGAAACTACTTTACATCATTATCTAGTGTTTGGTTCAACTTGAAAAAAGAAGAAAATATGTAGTGAAAGTACTTTACATCATTTTCTAGTGTTTGGTTCAAACTAAAAAATTAAGAAAACTTGATTGTGGTCACCATGGTAAGATTACCACCCAACATAATATTTGTGCTCAGAAAAAGCTCTTATTTCATTATCTGCCTCGCCATAAAGTTTATAAAACAATGTTGGCTGCAATATATTGTCGCGCCAATATATTGTTGCTGTAAACTTTGGCTGCATATCTTAAAAATAGCCCATCATCATAACACAAAATATGCATACCAACCAAAAGCCTGCATATCTTAAAAATAGCCCATCATCATAACACAAAATATGCATACCAACCAAAAGCCAACCAAGAGCTGAAACCAAGGCCGAGAGCAGATCATAACACAAAATATGCATACCAACCAAAAGCCAACCAAGAGCTGAAACCAAGGCCGAGAGCAGGTTAAAACCATGTACTGAATTAAAACAAAGGCCAAGCATAGCTGACCAACAACAAATAATAGTTCCAAGAGCTGGAACCAAGGCAGAGAGTACAATAAACCTGCACAAAATTTAAATAAGGGCCAAGCATCAACTGAATCCGAAGGCCAACCATAGCTGACCAACCAAAGGACAAGCAAGAGCTGCAAGAGGCCAACACAACCAAACCCCAAGCAACAAGCTGCTGCAACACAAGGAAAGCACAACAAAATGCCAAGAAACAAGAGCTGCAAGAGGCCAACACAACCAAAAACTGCTGCAACACAAGCAAGAGCTGCAAGAGCTGCAAGAGCTGCAAGAGGTCATCATCATAGCTGACCAACAACAGGACAAGCAAGAGCTGCAAGATGCCAACAAAACCAAACCCCAAGCAACAAGCTGCTGCAACACAAGGAAAGCACAACAAAATGCCAAGAAACAAGAACTGCAAGAGGCCAACACAACCAAAAACTGCTGCAACACAAGCAAGAGCTGCAAGAGCTGCAAGAGGCCATCATCATAGCTGACCAACAACAGGACAAGCAAGAGCTGCAAGAGGCCAACACAACCAAACCCCAAGCAACAAGCTGCTGCAACACAAGGAAAGCACAACAAATTGTCAAGAAACAAGAGCTGCAAGAGGCCAACACAACCAAAAACTGCTGCAACACAAGCAAGAGCTGCAAGAGCTGCAAGAGGCCATCATCATAGCTGACCAACAACAGGACAAGCAAGAGCTGCAAGAGGCCAACACAACCAAACCCCAAGCAACAAGCTACTGCAACACAAGGAAAGCACAACAAACTGCCAAGAAACAAGAAAAAACCAGGCTGCAACCAAGGCCAACACAACCAAATGCCAAAGACCAACCATACACCAAATCCAGGCTGCAACCAAGGAAAGACCAACCCCAGGCCAACACAAGAAAAAACCAAAGGCTGCACACAATGAAAGCACAACAAAATGCCAAGAAACAAGAGCTGCAAGAGGCCAACACAACCAAACCCCAAGCAACAAGCTGCTGCAACCAAGGAAAGCACAACAAATTGCCAAGAAACAAGAAAAAACCAGGCTGCAACTAAGGCCAACACAACCAAATGCCAAAGACAAACCGAAGCTCATAAGAAATTGTAGAAAATGTGCTCAGAAAATGCTCTTTTCTTCATTATATGCCTCGCCATGAAGTTTATAATAGCAATGTTGGCTGCATATACTGCCTCGCCAATTGATTACTAGTATAAACTCTAGCTGCATATCTTCAACAATGAAGCCCATCATCATAACACATAAAATGCATACCTCTTTAAAATTAGCTAGTTTCACAAAAATATCCCAAAAGCATCGTAATCCGAGCTAAGGCCAACATTCTAATCAAGAGGTTGACTCTTCATGAACTCAGTCAACGCCTTCTTTTGCATAATAGTTGGCCTCCCCATAAACAACCTAGCTTGTGATTCATTCTCATGCAATTGTTGATAAAACTTATCAAGAATTTCTATGTCAAATTCATCATGTGCAAATATAGCTTGTGCCAACTTCTCGGTCCAATGCATACTCACCATGCGCATAGATGAGGTGAATTGTTTTACCTCATTTACTATCTCACGCATAAGCACCGTGTCCTCACTAAACCTAGGCTCCTTTCCTTTACGTTTCTTTGACCCGTCATTTTTACCTTTGTTCACACTAGAAGATGAATTGGATTTTGAGGGCATAGTTGGACCCTTCGGTGGTGGAATATCATCTGCATCTATATCAACATAGCTAGGTGTGTTCTCCTTTGGCATACTAATATCATCATCATCATCACCAATATTAAAATGTGCACTACCACCAAATTGTGACAACACATCTACCGCATAATCTCCTCTAGCAACATCGTCTCCAATAATAGTTGCGAGGTCTTCATAATGTTTCATGGGCTTGTTGATGTATTCCCTAAGTTTAGAACTATTCATACTCTTATCCTGCATAGTTTAATGCATATATCAAAAACATATAGGACAACATTGAACAAAATTAGAAATATTTGTTAAGAAATGAACACAAGAAAATTATAAATACCTCTAGCCATCTATCAAAGCAAGCTTCATCTATAATCACCATCTTCTTTGCATCATCCCAACCGGCACCGCTCAAGTCACGACATTTTTGCATGTCCAAGAATCTATTACGAATAGTTCTCATACGATTTTTCACATTCTCGGAAGTGAACGTTGAACCTAATTGTTCATTTATATGAAAGACGGCGCTATGATAAGCAGTTTTTTTAAACTTCTTATCCGCTTTCAATCCATCCCTAGCACATTTTGCAAGGAAAGGAATTAACAAATCATCATGTTTACTCTCCCACAATATGTTAACTCTCCTCTTGCAAGCCTCTTTCTTCTTGGATTTATGAGCAATAGCTTTCTTTTTCCTCTTTGGATTAGGGGATGAACTTTCATCACCATCAATATCATTAGCACTCCTCTTGTTGCTTTGACATTGTTGAATAGGTGACGGAGTTTCACCCACGCTATAACTTTGACGTTGTAAACTTGGAGGAGCATTTAGCATGTTCATGAATGACATTGTAGGTTGTTGGCCAATTCCCCAAAAGTTAGCATCTTGCATTTGCAAATTATTCCAAAAATTAGGACCTTGGCCAACTTGTGAAGAGTGATAAGGCATAAAGCCCGGGTTAAACCCACAAGGGAATGATGAATTCCTTGGGGTTCGAGGCGATGAATTGGATGTCGTACTCTTGCCTTTGACCTTATCAAGTTCCTCACAATTGAAGTTGTCGGCCATACCTAGAAAATAGTTATAGAGAAATATGAAATAAATATACGTAAGTTGAGTAAATAAAGTGTGTCCTAAGAGAATTACATACAACACATAATAATAGCATACAAATGTTTCGCCAATTAACATTCTATAGTTTTACACATGCTAACATAAAATGAAGTACATGAAAATAGAATAATTCAAAACATGAGACAACATCACTATCAAATTGCATTACTGTAGGCTGTCTAAAAATCACAATAGATAGCTGATCCCCATCAAAACACCTATGATGGAACTTACACTCTGACGACTTCCAGAAGGTTACAATCTGACGACCTTCACGACAACTGATGGAAGCTCTAATCAAACAGCCTTCATAATCAACATCGGGAGTTACAATCTGACGACTCTCATATATCAGAGAGCTAAAGCAAAGATTACAAAATGACGATCTTTGCAAAACTTCATTGAACCCACAAGGGATTGATGAATTCCTTGGGGTTCTAGGTGATGAATTTGATGTTGTACTCTTGCCTTTGACCTTATCAAGTTCCTCACAATTGAAGTTGTCGGCCATACCTAGAAAATAGTTATAGAGAAATATGAAATAAATATACGTAAGTTGAGTAAATAAAGTGTGTCCTAAGAGAATTGCATACAACACATAATAGTAGCATACAAATGTTTCGTCAATTAACATTCTATAGTTTTACACACGCTAACATAAAATGAAGTACATGAAAATAGAATAATTCAAAACATGAGACAACATCACTATCAAATTGCATCACATGCCTATTTCATTAGTATTCCCTCCCTTATACTTATCACAATAATCAACCCACATTTCCCAAGCTATTTGATCTCTACGATTCTTCCATACGTTTCTTGATTCTGCTTGCTCCCTTTGAGTTTGGGGTTGAGAGAAATCAACAATATTATTATCATCTTCATTAGCAACTTCACCTTCATCATCTTCGATCTCAACGGTCTCATTGAATATGTCATCATCCGGGTCCACCATTGCAATATAATTGTGAAGAACTGCACAAGCTAATACGATATCCACTTGTGCGCGGAAAGGGTAATGAGGCTTTGCGGTAAGAATTTTGAAACGATTCTTCAAACAACCAAATGTAGATTCAATCTTAGACCTTAAAGAAGAATGTCTAAGATTGAATAATTCCCTTCTATTTTTAGGTGTTCTTCCTATTTGTTCCTTCAAATGGTAACGAACACCACGATATGGGGAGATAAAACCCGGCATGGTCGTGTATCCCGCATCACACAAGTAATACTTTCCTACAAATGCATGATTTGAAGGCGTTTAGTAAATTTTTTTGTCAATTCATCGAATAAACCAATATTAATTAAAGTAATTACTTCAAATTTAAGATATGATGAAATTACCATCGTAAACTTTCAAGCCATGAGGTTGTGGCCTACACAATGCAT